ATTCAGTTTCATTAAAAATTTTCGTAGCATAGACAATCATCCAAGACCAGAAACTCGGCCTAAAAAACCGCCGATGAATCCGAAAATCGCCAAGTATTTCTATCAACAGTCGGCCAGCGCTGGCCATCGTATAAAAATGTGAAGGACTCATTAATTTTAAAATTAGTTTAATATATGAAGGGAGACTTTAATGGCCGAAAAAAATTTAAATTAATGTTCTCGTGAAAATGGTTCAAAAAGTAAAATAAGAGTGAGGCGAATATTGGCCGCATAAATGGATGATACTTGAAGCATCTAATTTGTATTAGTTTTCGAGCGCACGGCGAGGTTACATTCAATAACGTCAGATGCAACTCACTAAGGAAAAAATCGAAAAATTTCATTCTCTTACACAAGTCGATGTTCCGCATTATCAATAGGAGTGTTAGTGAAATTTGTTGCGATAAATTGTGCAATGGGGAAGCAATCTTAATAAATTAAATACTATCATTAATTACACGAGCAAACATTAGCCTGGCATGACATGCCTTCATGTGGTTGATGATCGCGGCTTCTAAACGTGAAATTCTTCACTGCGAAGGAACATTTTTCAGCATCAATTGTTTTGATGCTGGTAGACTACCGATTATCAAGACAACAAATTATATAAAAGTAAAATAAAGGAATTGTCCTGAATCACGTTTAAAATTGTTGCTGGTATAGTAATAGTTAATAAATCTTGTAACTATAGTATACGGCGGTAAAATGCTAGCACTTTCCAGCATCACGAGCCGTATTGATGCTGGTACAGTACTGGTTATCAACAACAAAAGTATTGCTCTGTACAATACAAGCTCGTACAGGAACAGCAAAAACTATTGCGTCTCAGTTGCGCTAGAAATTTAAAAGTAAATGATGCGCGTCAATAGAGTCACAAAGCACGACGTATAAAGTTATCGGGAAAATATCGCGAAAGAAAATTAATTAATAGAGTATCTTTTACGGGGTTCTGGGATGAAGGCCTTGGCCGACTCATCGGCGGCGTATGGTCGGCCATAAATTGTTCATCTATAAAGTGCTTTATATTTATCGGTGATCTAAAGTGATAATAATAAATATCAGGGATTTTAAAGTCAACAAAAACTCGTGTAGCTCTCGGGTGAGCGTAAAGAAGGATGCCGGACATCACTGTACGCATGCGTGTCGACTAATACCTTAATACGTATTTATGAAGAATGCACAAAAAAATCATTCAAAATCTAATCAGTATCCCAGATTAATAGCAATTTTCTGTAGAACAATTATGAGATAATCTTTAAATTTAGTAGTTATTTAATAATAGGTCCAAGAATATCAAATGCTTTCATATAATTGTCATTTTTCAGTATAAAGAGAGAATATATTAATGATCTTATATATTAAATTGCTAAGAAATAGAAGAAATGATACAGAATAATTCTGAATGGCGCGCAGTAGCGGGAAAATAAAGGCAATATCGGCCTCCTTTTAAAGCGGATGCTGTTCTTCGAGGCGAAGTCTATTAACGTAGTACATCTATTAGGTTGTATAAATAAAGATTTAGAATTAAATTCTTGTTTGTTAGTAATGTTCTATACTGAAAATTCTGTATATTATCTTGTAGTCCATGTTAAGGAAGACGTCGTAACAGAGGCACCAATTTTGATGGCTGCTACGTTATTCATGCTATGATTGATATAAAATACGTACATACTGTATATCATCAGCATATTTCCGATTCTTCATAGAACTGCATACTGCGGCAACATTTTATTTCATGTGTAATGAACGTTTTATTTCATTTGTAATTTACATTTTTGCGTTTTCAGCTGAAATTTTGAGAAGAAATTATGAGCGATGTAGTGTCAGTGCGAGCTGGATGAAAATTACCAGATCTTATTTATTCGTCATTATTGATTTATTCCATGAAACAAGGACTTACCTTAACAGTTTATGTGAAGGTAATGAATAGATTTAATAGCTTCGTGGGTTGACATAATACGCAATACCCGCTTATCCTCCCTACTAACGAGTGCAGTATTGTCCCCTACACACCGCAGGCTCCCAATATTGTCCCCTGCACAGCGCAGGCTCCCAATATTGTCCCCTGCACAGCGCAGGCTCCCAATATTGTCCTCTGCACAGCGCAGGCTCCCAATATTGTCCCCTGCACAGTACAGGCTCCCAATAAACTGTACCCCAGCAATAGCGCTCTATTATTGCCCCTCGACCGTGCAATTCTCGCAGAAACATCCCCCCTTCATCCCCCGAGGGGGCGCGGGTCCCCCAAAAGGCCATCCCGCTCATACCGTCGCGTCCCCAGAGCTGATCGGATTCCCCGGAGCCTTCGTAATCCCCAGCTTCTCAATATAAATCACAGTCCGGCCAAAAATCCATATAATATCTGGTAATCCGATCACAACAATGGATTTTTTGACGAGAATAGGTCGTGGTAATCCTCATGAATTTAAATTATCTTTCGAGACGAGGTTCTTGAGGGACGAACGCAAGACGAGGGTGAGACGAGGGGAGGAGGAGAGGGTGAGACGAGGGGAGGAGGAGAGGGTGAGACGAGGGGAGGAGGAGAGGGTGAGACGAGGGGAGGAGGAGAGGGTGAGACGAGGGAAGGGTGAGAGAGTGAGACGAGGGGACGTGAAGAGGGAGAGACGAGGGGAGGAGGAGAGGGAGAGACGAGGGGAGGAGGAGAGGGCGAGACGAGGAGAGGAGGAGAGGGAGAGACGAGGAGAGGAGGAGAGGGAGAGACGAGGGAAGGACGAGAGAGTGAGACGAGGGGAGGAGGAGAGGGTGAGACGAGGGTAGAAGTACAGGTAAATGCAGCGATGGGTTGGTTTGTATGCGGCAACAAAGGCGCCTGGAGACGAGGAGGGCGGAGGAGGCGTGAGGAATGCCCGAAACGCTGGCCGGGGCATGAGCAGCGAGGAATAGAGGAGTGAGATTAGAGCAGCCATGGAGCAGCCATTGAGCAGCCATAGAGCAGACATAGAGCAGCCATAGAGCAGTAATAGAGCAGCCATAGAGCAGCCATAGAGCAGCCATAGAGCAGCCTTAGAGCAGCCTTAGAGCAGCCATAGAGCAGCCATAGAGCAGCCATAGGGCAGCCATAGAGCAGCCATGGACTCTACAACAGTAAGCCCAGCCTGTTGGATGAGCAGAGGCTGATCATTGTACGCATCCAATGCATCCTTCAGGCGAGGCATCTGGCGTCTCTAGCGCAGGTTGCAGGATTGCAATCTTGTCCTTCACTCAATAAAGTGAGTCAAGTGCTGCTATTCCGACAGATGTAAGGCACCTGCTTTCAGTAGAGGTTTTTGGTAAGTTTTAGGCATTCCTTATTCCAGGTTGCAGCATGTTATTGTAATAAAATATTAATTTAATCTACACTTTTCATCTTTCTGGGAATTTGATCATTATAATTTTGGACACGGAGGTACATAGGTTGCTTAGCAGATAAGTTATAAAATAAAAAATATGCAAATCCAGGATTCCTGATCTGCAGCTCAGCAGCGTCTCAACCTGGCGGTGATGCTTCATGGGAGCGCGTCCTGCCTGCGCTGCTTGCAGAGAATACCTGGAGAGGATACAATGCACGAAGAGGATACAATACACCAAGAGGATACAATGCACGAAGAGGATACAATACACTAAGAGGATACAATTCAGGAAGAGGATACAACACACGAAGAGGATACAATGCACCAAGAGGATACAATTCAGGAAGAGGATACAATGCACCAAGAGGATACAATTCAAGAAGAGGATACAATGCACCAAGAGGATACAATTCAGGAAGAGGATACAATGCACGAAGAGGATACAATACACGAAGAGGACACAATACACGAAGAGGATACAATACACGAAGAGGATACCATACATAGAGGATACAATACATGAAGAGGATACAATACACGAAGAGGATACCATACAAAGAGGATACAATACATCAAGAGCAGACAATACACCAAGAGCATAAAATACACCAAGAGGATACAATACACCAAGAGGATGTAATTAAGGAATAGGAAACAATACAGTAAGAGGATACAATTATGGAAGAGGATGCAATAATTGCATCCGTCAATAAGAGAATGATGCTGGATAAAAGGATACAATACTACAAGTGGAAACAACAATAGAAGAGGATATCATTCTAGAGGAGGACGCAATTCTAAAGGAAGTTACCCGCCAAACTTGAGGTGGCACGTAAGCGTAACCCTGTTTGCCAGCAGCACGCGGCGACCTGGCGTGAGAGTTGGCGTAATTACGGCGCCAAATGGCAATACTTGAGCGTGTTGCAGGTCACTAACCTGCAAACAGCTTTTCTTGAGTCTGCAGCAGGTCGTTAACTTACAAACAGCTTTTCTTGAGTCTGCAGCAGGTCGCTGACCTGCTAACGGCTTTTCTTGAGTCTGCAGCAGGTCGCTGACCTGCAAACAGCTTTTCTTGAGTCTGTCCTTTGCTAACCGGCAAGCGGCAGAATAACTCACAAAATCTGCAGCAGAGCTAAGAAACGCCAGCAGTAACGGCAGTTAGTGACGGAAAACAGCCGTTACGAAGAAAAAGTTTAGAGTAATAACGCGATTGGGATTCCAACTTGCAATTATTAAGCCTGCCTAATGCCGGACAAAAACTGCCAATGTTTTATATTAGAAACCAGCACTTATAATTGTCTATTACAGACACCAGCAGTTGAAAAGGTTCTAAATAGGTGATGTATAACGATAATGTATAAAAACTTGACGAAAAATCAATTGTAATATAATTGGTTTTTTTCTACCTCCCTCAGTTCATCCATCTCTGCCCTCAACATTATTATTGCTATTAACATTATTCACCAGCACCCGACATAAACTAACATAATGCGAAGACTCTTCGACGGAGCAGATACTCTAGGCACGTCTGCAGGGCTGCAGACATCAGAGCAGAGTTGTCTGCAGAGGAGGAGAATGAGGCGCATTGAGCCTGTTTGCTGACCTTGCCCTGAGCGTGCGCTAATATGCAAGCGGTGGTAGTTCAGTGTTGGTGACTCTCAGGGTAGGTTTACACATGCAGGTGGTGCTAGTTCAGTGCTAGGGAAGGTTTCTAGCTGCTAGTGGACTATATGAGGATATACAATAGAGTTACTGACAAGTGATACGAACAGTGATTGGAACGTTGCAAGTGCACTGAAGTTGCAGTCAGTAAAGAGACCTCATTTACTATGGACGTGACGGTCAAATTTTGATAGGTGGAGTAATCGTTTTAATAAGTCAAGAGATTTTCGATCATGTGAAGTTCCATCTCCTATGTTTAATAAATTGAGCACCAATCAGCGATATGGCTGATAGCAATCACCCATATGAGTGCAACCTCTATCGCTATCTCAAGACATCTCGTGAGTGTCGTGAAGAGTAGAATGTTCTACTTGCCACACTGTGTGTTGCCGCCTGCATGTAGTGAGGAGGATGCAGCGGTAGAGCCCACACTTGCTGCTCTGATCTAAATTGCAACTAGCTTCAACAATTGTTAAATTGATTGAATTTAAAGTTATTAACAGTCAAGCTTGCAACTGAGCTATTTCAGAGCCGATTCATCCACACAACTTGTAACGTTACACTTGTTGGAGGCAGAGAAACGAGCCGACAAAATGACTTCCAGGCTTCGACTGCTAGTTTACTTGGCTCTCTGCACCGGACTGAGCACTATTCCTGTAAATGCGTACAACATTCTCCTGGCGGTGCCCATTGCCAGCAAGTCTCTACATAACTTGTTCACTGCGATCGGAGAGAACTTGGTGAACGCCAACCACACGGTGACTCTCTTGACAAGTTTCCCGCCTTCGTTTTCTCATCCAAACTTCAGCAGCTTGAATGTTTTGGGTGAAGTGCCCCAGCCCAAGTATAACGTCTTCGAAATGCGCGATATCACAAAAGCCATTGAAAAATTTACCCAAGAAATATTCTTCATCGGTGGAATAATGTGGGACAACGAAGAGGTCAAAGAGGTATGGAATAAGAGGAATTCATTCGACGCTTTCTTGACTCCTTCGTATGCAAACGAAATCTGCATGCCGTTCTTACTAAACTACACCGGACATTACATGATCGTCTCCACCCCCGGGGTGGAGTACAGTGCGATGTCCATGGCTGGCAATTGGTTGCCGCCCTCAGTTGTTCCGTCGATGATTTTACCTTACGATGAGTACATGAGTTTCTTCGAAAGAACTGTCAATGTGATTGCCATTCCATTTCTTTACTTCTACACAAAAAGCTTCTACTTCTCCTACCAGCAGAAATTCATGGAACAAAAATTCCCTGAAATAGGATCACTCGAAAGGTCAGTAAATGTTTATAGGGTTTCATTGAAAATACGATAATGGAACGTTGCTGGTACCTTCATAAAGGCATTTAAAGTATTTACATGTTGTATATATTTTTTCAACATAGGTGACCTAAAACATTGAAGTCAATGTGTGCTGATTGTTGAATATAGTGTCATCAAAACTTAATTTGCAAATTGGAAATATTTATAATATAATTATTGAACCAAGTAAAAATATTTCTGAAAGATTTGCGTAGCTTCTCGTGACTGAAATAATGTAGCTCCTGTTATCTAGAATAGAATTCCTTTATTTAATCAGAAGGCCACGCGACATATGCTCGCGATAAGGCGTTGCGTGGCGAGCTCGTGTATTTTGATAACAATCTGGTCATGAGCAGACACGATACCCATGATAACAAGGAGACTTGTGAGACTCATCATAATTACGGTACCACTGTTAGTGAGGCTACTCACGGTACCCCAGTTAGTGAGGCTATGCACAATATCCCTGTTAGTGAGGCTACTCACGATACCCCTGTTAGTGAGGCTACTCACGATATCCCTGTTAGTACCCTGTTAGTGAGGCTACTCACGATACCCCTGTTAGTGAGGCTACTCACGATACCCCTGTTAGTGAAGCTATTCACGATATCCCTGCCATGAATCGCACCTGGTAGCATTTATCCCCACGTATTCAGATGCCCACGATCTAAGCGCAGCGCTTACGTCGTTTTTATGAACAAATTTATTTTTGTACCGTTTGTGAAAATATATGAGGTGAACATAAATGGGTATGGAGTAAACCACAGAATACTGAACATTGTTTAGCAGCTTAGGTTCCTCAGAACAGATTCATGACCGAATAATTTAATTTTTATACATCTTTTTTGAAATTTTCGTAATAAGTAATGGGATATATGCATGGCTAAGCAACTGCACGAATCATAGGTTTATGAACTATAATCGCCTATAATTTCTGAATTCCTAATTGTTAAAAGTTTCTCTGATCATATTACTGTTATGAATGATATGATTTTAGTTACTAACGACTTTTTCAGTTATTATTCAAGAGCGAGATTAACCCTGATCAACGGGCACCCTGCCCTGGACAGCCCCGTGCCCCTCCTGCCCAGTCAGGTCGAAATTGGTACCATCAACGCCAAGCCTGCCAAGCCCCTGCCCAACGTGAGGGATCATGTCTATATTACTTTAATGAGGTACTGCAGCAATAATGAGGTACTGCAGCAATAAGTGTAGACTGAATGCAACAAACTAAATGCAAGGAATGGAAAAGTTTTGGATAGACATCCCAATTGAATGAAGTGTAATCTCTTGTTACTGATTATTTATCACTGTTCTCCAGCATACATTAAGACCCGCTTCTTTCTCAAGCGTAGCAATATGACCTTATCCTGCCCTTACTGTTCCTCACTGTACCCCACTATTCCTCCTGTTCCCCAGCAACAGTATGCCTTCCCTCGTAAGCACCAGTTTCCCCTCACAGGACCTGGAGGAGTTCATGGCCAGCAGCGGCGCCCACGGGGTCATCTACTTCAGCATCGGCAGCATCGCTGAAAGCGCTGACATCCCCATCAGAGCAAAGGTCCACAAATTCAGCCGCATTTTACACCACAAAGTTTGAGTTAGTGAGCGATTTATGAAGGGCATAAAGTGTTTTTAACGACAGTAACAATTCAGCAGCCTTAAGGCCCGTTTACACCAAGGGCAACACACGGGCGTCAAGCGCCTCACAGCCCCTCTGTGCAGCGTCTGCATGCGTTTCGTGTGGGCAACGAAGCGAGTGACGAGCTAGCGATTCACAGGCGTCCTGCCTCATGCAACACAAGCGCTGCACTCAGTGGACGGCTGTATGTGGTCTAGCCTCTAGCGAGGTTGTCTGTATACGCTGGTCTTTCACTATGTCAACTATCGCCACACATCTTTGTAGAGAGCACGAATGCTTGTAGAGTTCAGTCAAAGGAGCATAAAAGTCGAACTGCAAAAGAACAAGCTGTAATGAAAATTGTTTGAGTTTTAAGAAACTTTTGTGTACAAGTCACCATTGACGAGGTTCCCAAGAAAATTCATACGTCGAGTTCGCAATTCGATCGTGAAATGAATTTCATTGCAAATGAATTCCACCTCAATTCCATCCTCCCGCTTCTGAGTATCATTATATTCTTTAGCAGACTGTCAAACAAGTCCACTGGCAGTCTAATATAATTTTGAAAGTCTGATGCATTATCAACTGATAATTATTTTAAAATGTAATTGTGAGAGCCCCCTCTCTTCTTTGCAAGCATTTTTACACAAATACTGCGGCGCCTACATATTTTCTTTACAGCAGCACACCCGAGAACAATGGCCCAGAGCTCAAATTCGGACACATCCATACCCACAGACGTCTAACTGGTAACTAATCTTCAAAGCGCGCGGTCTCGAACTACTGCGTACAAAAATAAGTGTGAACGGTTGTGGGCGGTGAGGCGCTGCAGCCAGCACCTCACCGCCCATGTAGTTGCCCCTAGTGTAAACGGGCCTTTACACGCACCTGTACTTTGCTCGTTTAGATTTCAACTCGTAGTGGGATTAGACACGAACGTCGGTCAGGGTCGTTACGCAATCCAGGCCTATGACTCGGGCGAACAAATTTCCTGGACGTTGTACATGTAAGTGACTAGTGGAATTTTGCTGGAGCTCGAAGCCACTTTTGAAGTTAAGTCCTGTTCGAGTCCTCATTTGTTCTCTGATCCTCGCTTATACCCAGGATATGGTGGTAATAAGCTAATATATCATGAACGGGTTGCATCTTAACGTATTTGTAGAATGTAATATTGGCTCAATCGCAAGATTTTTGTCAGGTTTTGCAATATTTTACCTCTCAGCTAGAGTTTGTGGAGGCGTTCCGCAGGCTGCCGCAAAAAGTCGTGTGGAAATACGAGGGCAGCGACTTGGAGCTGCCGCCGAACGTCCTGACGCGGGCCTGGCTCCCTCAGCAGGACATACTCGGTACCTGGGGCGGTGGTGCATGCGATGTTTGTGTGTCTTGATGTAATATATTCGAAATCACTGAATGTCAAATTTGACTGAATGATTCTTAATATTAGTTTCCTTGTTTCATCGCTAATGTCGGAAACACAGGTCAATAATGAGATATGTCTTTTCGGTCGATTAAATTAATGATAGACCACAGAGTGATCACTGCATAAACTTTCTTCTGAATTAGGTCATCCCAAGACGCGGCTTTTCATTTCGCACTGCGGGAACCTGGGCACCCAAGAGGCCAAGTACCACGGCGTACCAGTACTTGCAGTGCCAGTGGCCTTTGATCAGCCCAGGAACGCGGCTCGGATGGTACGCAAGAAGCTGGCGCTGTCGCTGGAGTGGCAGACGCTCACCGCCCAGGCCATCGTCGACGCCGTCAACGAGCTCGTCAACGACACCACGTCAGCCTCCTATAATGAACCTATGATAAATTTTTTAATTAAGTAATGCGCTTGTAATTAGCGCAGCATTGTCCATTACGTAGAACATTTGGGCATTACAATAAAACAGTTGAAGTCGAGGCCATATATTTTCTGGCCACCAGGCAGGATGGTTGCGCACCATCAGCTTTGGTGTCAGACCAAGAGGCCTGTTGATCTCAAGTCAAGCGTGGTATTAACGGATGCTAGATGTTAATAATCACATAAACGTTGAGTCATTATTTTACTAGTTATTTCCTGTTCTCTGTGGTGTACAAACAAAAGGCAAGCACATTTCCATTAGATCTTGTAACGCATGAACAATGTGCACAGATACGGCGCCCGGCTGAGGACGATCTCAGCGGTGCTGCAGGACCAGAAGGAGAGTCCCGGGGCTCGTGCTGTGTGGTGGATAGAGTACGTGATCCGGCACCATGGGGCGCCGCACCTGCTGTACCCCGGCAAGCGCCTGCACTTCCTGCAGTATGTCTCTGCAGACGTCCTGCTCTTCATCGCCGTCTGCTGCTACGTCGTCTACAGGATACTCAGAAGTGCGGTCGTTGTGGCGGTGGGCGCCTGGCGTGGCAGGCTCAAGGAAACCAAGAAAAAGAAACTTTAGTCACGGCCGTGGCCGGCGCCGGATTTTTTTGTCCTGCGTATCAAGTTAATGAATTTTCAGTTGTTGTTTTATTGTCCACGAAATCTTTAAATTTTAAGCGTATATGATAAACGAGATTTTAATGGATTTACTTGATTATATGTGGTTAGAGTCGACACTTTATTTAGTTAACATAGCTTATAGCTTTAACTTTGGGGTCACCCTAGCTTTAACCCTGGCTCATCCTAGCTTTGAGATTGGGTCAAGATGGAAAATCACGAAAAATATTCTTATAAAAATCACTGTCCCAAACTTTTACAGCAATTTGATCGTCATTTGGTACGAGCTTGGATGGCTTGTCGCCGGAGGTCACGTTTCATATTCGAGCCTCGAACGCGAGTCTTTGAAGCCCCAGCAAGGCTTTCAATGCTCAACGCCTCTGCCTTCAAAAACGAACTCCTTCTTCATAAATGAATAAAAGCTTGGGGAATATTTCACGCAGCCCTCCAGATTATTCCAGCCAAAGGATTTCCTATGGAATTTCTTCTCAAAAGATCCGCGGGCTGCCGTCTTTTGAAGGCTGCCTATGGGTCGGAGAAACTCTGTTTGATAAGCTCTAACAAACGCGTTTTTCTCGGCGAACAATATACATACATACAAGGGCGTTACTTCAGAGCTTTCTTTCCATCGATGAATTTAATTCATTACGATGAAAGCAGCGTACATATTTCTATTTGTGTTCGATCGATGAAACTGATATTCCAATTGATTCACGCCGTGAAAATAAATTTGTGCACACATTTTTTTCCTGTGCATACATCTTTTCTCCTGATTATAAAAGCAAGTTTGAACCGCAAGAGCTTTTTTAACTAAAGGTTATCATTGAACTGGAACAAATCTTTACTGGGAGCTGGACAATTTTCAATGCTTTCGGTCAACGGAGGTATTTAATTATCAAAGTATTTGCCACGGATTTTAGGATTCAATACTACTTCTCCGATACATTAACTGCGTGGTATATCAATAGAAACATTCGCATATCTCGCGCAATTTGAATATTTCATCACCTCGGCACCATTGCTACACCGTGCAGCGTTTCAATCGATGGCGTCCAATATTGAGGCGTCGGCGGCCAAAGCGCTGACGCTGGCCCCAACCGCGCCATCGGAACTTCATATTAAAATATTAAAGAGAAGAATTCAATTCAGACCGAACTTGTAGCTTGTATTTGTAATTGTAATTTGTAATTGTTATTTGACCGAATTTGTAGCTTATAAAATTTATTCGAAATGAGTCCATGAAAATACGTCTGAGTAAGAACGAATGTAATCGTAGAAAGTATTTAGCAAAATGAGATTAGATTGGTAACAATTTCCGCAGATTATTTTAATGCACCATCAGGTCAGAATGGTAAGCAGCTCAAATTACCATCCTCAAAAAAAATTGCGGTGGCGGAATGATTTGACAAGTAGACAAACCGATGTGTGTTATTGTTCTAATTAAAAAAAAACGTTGAAGATGCATTATAACCCTGTCGCGCACGCGAAATTTCCTTTTCGTTAAAATTCAATTATTTACAGTTGGATAGGGATAAAACTATCCCACTGTTTTTTTTTTACTTTTCATGCAACGATAGTTCTGCGATAATTTTTGTAATTGCAGTTTAGAGGAGCTCCACGTCATAGCGTTATTGCTCTAGCTCGTCATTGTACACTTTGACTTGGAAGTCGGCTGTGCTCCGCTTCATGTCTGTCCACTATTCAGTGTTCATTCACTTCTTTACGATACAGCCGCAATCCTCGTGAGTATTAATCCTATTACGTTGTTTAGGTTGCCACCAAGATTCAATATAGTTTCACGCAAACGCTTTTGGATTGACCCACGGCGGAAATCCCTGTATCCAGAGATCTGATGCCGTGACAGTAATGAGGAGGCTTAAATCAAAACTCAAAATCTACTTCTTGATTTAATTGCACTGCATTGCCTTAACCATGGAGACTCTTGGTGATCGGAGATCATCCAGGCCACCCAAGCCGACTCTCTCACAGCTGAGAGAGAACTGCAAGTCTTCACAGGAAGCTCTTATTTCACTGTTGAAGAAAGATCCTCTTTCTTTTGAAGGCGTTCAAATTTTGAAAAGCTATGTGTGCGACTTGAAGGATTCAAGGGAGAAATTCATTCAGAACAGTCGCGCCCTTTCTTCAAACCTTATTTCTCAAGGTGCTTTGAATGAAGCACGCGAGGAGAAAGTTAACCGTCTTCAGTTGAAGGATGAATGTTCCGACATGATAACTGTCGCCAATCAGATATTCACGAAGTTAGGTGAAGACGAAGTTTCCAACGCAGAAATAGCGAGCGTCTCTGCTTCAACGCGCAGTGGTAACAGCAAAGGAAAACTGTCTTCCTCTGCAAGCCTTCAAGGAGCTGAAATACAGCTGAGAATAGCTGAAGCCGAGGAGCGAGTGAATTTGGAAGTGGAAGAAATTGAGAGACAGAAGTTAATATTAGAGCAAGCTCACACGAAACAACTTTTAGATTTAGACATTCAGAAACGACAACTGGAAAGAAGGAAGTCAGCTGAGGCCCTTCGCGCTGAGATCAGTGTTCTTACTTCGGCGCAGCAGCCTGCCTCAATAATTCTTTCGGTGATTTCCGAGGAGGCGCCCGAGGAAAGAGTTTCGGCCTACATTCGAGATCTTCCTCCGGCCTGCGTCGCTCCGAGCGACCTCGCTCGGAGAGGCGTCTCTTTTCAGCCTATTCTTTCTCGCACAACTGCTTCCACTCTTTCCTCGCCACACATGACGATCGCTAACTCTCTTGCACCCAACACAACAAGCCCCAGCGCCTGCACTCAGCACGGTAGCTACGGTGCTGGCTATCATGCCAGCGGCCTTCCTCCCGCTGTCTCCCATGGAGTTTCTGGGTCTACTCGTGTAGTTCCTTCCGATACGCCTACCGTGGGGAGCCATCTACGCGACGCTGGCACTGGCACCTTAGATTCATCGGTGCAATTCATTCTCACTCAGAAAATGTTGGAAAAGTCAACACAGCCATTTGACGGCCAGGCTTATCGGTTTCTCACTTGGAAAAGCTCGATCGATAGTAGAATAAGGGGCCTTAATCTTAAACCTATCGATGTTATCCACATACTCGAAGCAAACACTGTTGGCAAGCCAAATAGGTTGGTCAGAGATTTTCTTTCGGCCGGCGGAGCCGACCCTGCATTCACTCTGCAGAAGATATGGGACGCTCTCCATAGAAGGTTTGGTTCCAGTGTCCAAGTGGCCAACAGTTTGTTCAAGAAAATCGATGAAATTCCAGTAGTGAGAAGCACCCACGACAGTGAGAAGCTGCAAGAACTCTCAGACTTGTGTGGCATTTTACAGTGCAACATGGAGTCGGCGCACGAGCTGCAGTATTTGAATATGGCCGGGGGACTTCGGAAGATCCTTTGCAAGCTTCCCGAACATCTGCAAAACAAGTGGCGCACTTTCGGCCATAATTTCGAGCTAATGAATAATGGTCTTCATCCTCCATTTCACGTTTTTGTTGACTTTCTAGCAAAAATGTCTGATGAACTCAGCAATCCGAATTATTTGCACAATAAGACGAACTTTTCTGCTGACGGTAAGAAAACCAGGGTGCTTGCTTCAGTTGCTACTCCCGATAGACGCAAGTGCGTTTTTCATTCAACCAATAGTCATGATCTTCGCGATTGTAAATCTTTCACAAAACTTCCTTTTCAAAAAAGGAAAGAATTAGTCAAGAGCGAAAACCTTTGTTTTAGGTGTCTGAGTGGCGACCACTTGCTTACTAAATGTACAGTTTTAGTTGAATGTAAGATATGTAATGGTAATCACTGTACGTCAATGCATCGAAATTCCGCCCCCCGCCCATCAGGTAGTGCGATTGAAAACACTACGCGCAAAATAGACCCCGTAGTTCCTAAAACTCAGTCTCTCTGTGCCACTATCTGCGGTAATTCTAGTGTCGTCAAAAGTTGCTCCAAAACTCTATTGGTAGACGTAACGCATTCAGATGTGCCTCTTAAAACATTGCGATGTTATGTCATATTAGACGAGCAATCTAACTCTTCATTTGCTCACTCCAGCTTATTTGAATACTTTGACCTATCTTGCCCAGAGCAAGAATATCAATTATCTACCATGAGCGGTGTTTGTTCTTATGTAACGGGAATGATAACAAAGGGATTTGTTGTGAAAGGGGTAGGAGAATCTACATCGTATTCATTAGCAAATGTGATATCAAACGACCATATTCCTGACACTAAAGACGAGATTGTATCGCCTGCCATTGTAGAAGCTCATCCCAGTATTGCTAAATTTTCTACTCATTTTAACGATTTTGACCCGCACGCAAATGTCCTGATGCTGTTAGGCAGAGATTGCGGCAATCTGACGCGGACGAGGTGTTACGGCCGTAACGCTCCTTACGTGCACCGCACGCCATTAGGCTGGGCCGTGGTGGGTTCTGTCTGCACTCAGACGAACGGCAGCAGCTTTACTCGATCAAACGTGACGACGTTGAAAACTACTTGTTTCCACGATCATCCAGATGCCAGGCCTTGCTTCAGGCAAAATTACCCTCAGTGGAGTCTACCAGCGACCAAAGACGTCTTCACTACGGCCAGAGACGATGATCTACAGGGAACGTCGATCGAGGATCAGAAATTTTTGGAGATAATTTCTAGCTGCATTACGGTGAATTCTTCCGGAAATCTCGAGATGCCATTGCCCTTCCGAGAAGAAAATCCTAAACTTCCTTGCAACCAGCAAGCGGTCTTGCACAGGACCAGAAATACATTGAACAGACTAAGGGTAGACCCTGATAAACTGCAGCAATGTGTTATTTCTATGGGGAAAAACATCGACGCCGGCCACATCGAAAAAGTTCCGCTCGACGAACAAACTCCTCCCGAAGGCAAGGCATGGTGGATACCCGTCTTTCCCGTAACGCATCCAAAAAAGGGAAAAGTTCGCATTGTTTTCGACAGCTCCGCAAAATACTGCGGCACAAGTCTGAATTCGAAACTCCTTCAAGGACCTGACATTAACAACCGATTGAAAAACGTGCTCCTTAATTTTCGTGACGGAGAAGTCGGTTTCATGGCCGACATAGAATCAATGTTCTACGCCTTCAGCGTGGATAAGAAAGACAGAGACTTTCTTAGGTTCTATTGGTACGAAGATAACTACCCACGAAAGGATGTGATTCAGTACAGAGCTACAGTTCACGTGTTTGGCAATGCTCCTAGTCCAGCTGTAGCCATATTTGGTCTACGTTATGCTACTACAGCGAATGAAGATGACGCGTCATGTGCAGAGGCGAAAAAATTTATACAGAACTCATTAGAGACGCTCCACGTCATAGCGTTATTGCTCTAGCTCGTCATTGTACACTTTGACTTGGAAGTCGGCTGTGCTCCGCTTCATGTCTGTCCACTATTCAGTGTTCATTCACTTCTTTACGATACAGCCGCAATCCTCGTGAGTATTAATCCTATTACGTTGTTTAGGTTGCCACCAAGATTCAATAAAGTTTCACGCAAACGCTTTTGGATTGACCCACGGCGGAAATCCCTGTATCCAGAGATCTGATGCCGTGACAAACCCCAATAAAAGCGAACAAGTTCTCACGCCGCCAACCAAGATTACTCTATGGAAAATTTTAACAGAAGCTTCAGCTGGGTGATAAGAAGCATAACTTGCAAGCTTGATGTTGTTTCGAGGCAGTTCTCGTGAAAGTCCAGAGAGAGGGTCAGCTTAAAATGCCTTGAATATCGAGACGCAAAACATGGCGCGAGTGCACTCGGAAGTTGTGTCGTGCAGCCATGTTGGCGGCGTCGCCAAACTTCCAACGCAAACATTGCCTTTAAAGTCCCTTTAGCAACAATGAAGCAATTTACACAGGGAATGGGTCTCATTAAAAATGTCGAGCTTAATTAATGGTTTCAGAAAGAAAATTAGAGCAGGGAAATGAATGGTTTCTTGCGAGAGACGAATGGCTTGGCGAGCGCGATAAGCAATGCGCGCGGCGCTGAAAGCTGCACGCGACGAACAGCCTGGTGGAATTACGCTTACCTTGTGTCTTGAAATTACATCAATATAATCTAAAACTTGTTTATGATAAAAAATAACCCTAAAATGTCTTAAAACTCGTGAAAATTTTAATGTTGAGTTAGCCTTGTGAGTCAGAAATGGAATAAATTCTGGTTCACCCGAAATATCCTCTTCTCAATTTTGAAGAACGCAAGGAAATATGCTCAGAGCGGCAAATAAATACGTTTGTTCCCATTGCTGAAATAAGGACAGGTTGCATAAATTCATGCGCATTACTTGAGGCATGTTTCATAAAGTGAGATGCATTATATGAGGCATGTTTAATCAAGTGAGATGCATTATATGAGGCATGTTTAATCAAGTGAGATGCAGTAGTTGAGGCATGTTAGATCAAATGATATGCATTAACAAATGGGACTCTCGTAAAATCAAGCTTAACATAATTGGCGTCGTATTCGTATAACAAGTAAGATTGTTGCTGAACGATTGACTGGCATCTATGGGGCTACTAATTGGTGGAAAAGGGACTTGGCGAAGCCCAGAAATGTCGAGAAGTTATGTGGAAATTAACAATTTGTGAGTGCATCTGAATTTCTTTTCAAAAAGGGCATAAAAAGTTAGATGCATTTAACAAAACAAATGTTTTCGAAATAATTGTGCTCGCAGGTCAAAGAAAAACCGAAAGCTCATGGTAACATGACAGTTTCTTATCGATTGCGCTGCAGCTTGTAGGAAGACGAAGGATTATATTTTAATTTTTGGATCAGCTCGAGACAAAATCATTAAGGGGACCGGGCTGCCCCCGGAGAAACTTCTACAGTTATTATCCGATCATCATGAAACTTCACATACATACTTAAAATGTAAAAAGAAAAACATTTTGCTCATATGAGCACCGGATAATGCCATGATTGGCCGCTTTACGTCAGGCGTTTCTTTTAGTTTGTCCAGCCCTGTAATTAAATCCCATAGACATTTGTTAAAGGGCCTAAAAACTGCCCTTCTTTGGGAAGCTGTCACGAAATCATTTTTCGACGTAGAGGGATGATTTCTGGCACCGTTGGATGCGTCAAAAAGTAAGCTTCAAGATGAGCCCAAAAAGTGGAAAACGCCAAAATTGAAAATTTTAGCCAGGTCGGTCCCCTTAATGAAATGAGTGAGTTGAGCTACTGATAATATAATTCTTTAATCGTGGCAAGCTAATTAAGTTGCACTAAACGAGATCAAATGCTATAATATCGCCCTCCATTCAGTGAGATCCTTCCGTTCTCAGTATCGGTGACTCCTCTACATAAAGCAATTTTGCGCCTACAATATTGCTTTACTTGAGGCATGAGGTTGCTCATTGCACTCAAGGCTTCACATTGCAACTCATGGCTGCAATACCATCGTATTGCAACCTGAAGTGATGATTAATTTAACGTCGATGGAAAATGTTCGCTGCGAAACTTGTACGATGAAAGCTGTCAGAAATAATACCGACTGTTTGATGAGTGGTTCTGTATAAATATAACAGATTTTTGGCATCGCAAAACCAAACAATGCTAACGAATATTGTGCTTGATGTGCGTTGTTCTCTCAAATAGATCATTGTGACTCATGTGCGTTGTTCTCTCTAATAGATCATTGTGACTCATGTGCGTTGTTCTCTCTAATAGATCATTGTGACTCATGTGCGTTGTTCTCTATAATAGATCATTGTGACTCATGTGCGTTGTTCTCTCTAATAGATCATTGTGACTCATGTGGCGGAGCAGGAAGTGAGTCACTGCAGTCACTGCTGCTGATCCATGAGGATGACATGACGGAAATGCCGCTGTATTCGCTGGTCGCTGGAACTTAAAAAAAACTTCGCTGCGTCAATGATAGCTCGATTAAGAGTTGAATCAGCGGCGGCGGGTCGTAAAAAACTCATATGCCACCCATGCTAATTTAGCTATGGATTAATTTCACTATGGATTAATAATTGTACAGCAATAATTCACAATTGACTTTCATCGTGGCTTCTAAAGTGGTTGAACATTCGACGGTTTTATTTTGGTTACTAATTAGGAAGCGACGTCTCGCCAGGTGGGGATACTGCAATACCATAAAAAATTCCGTCTAGTGAGAATGTTGCGGTGAGTGATGCGACCTTGACTGCGACGTGACTCTAGGACGTGACTCTAGGACGTGACTCTAGGACATGACTCTAGGACTGTCTCTTATACACATCTAGATGTGTATAAGAGACAGGTACTTGACTGGTTCTGTAAGTCTACCAGANCGTGACTCTAGGACGTGACTCAGAGCCGTGACTCTAGGACGTGACTCAGAGCCGTGACTCTAGGACGTGACTCAGAACCGTGACTGTAGGACGTGACTCAGAGCCGTGACTCTAGGACGTGACTCAGAGACGTGCCAAATTGACGTAACTCTTTTGTGCCACTTTAGGACGCGACTCGAGGGTTTGACTTCATTGTGACGTTATCACCACGACTCAGACTAAGACTATGCACTGACAACCCTTGCAGGAGTCGAATGATCATGATGCAGGAGTCAATTAAGTGACGTAATGTCAAATGATTCTTTTATGGCAACAAATTTAAGAGATATACAGTGCACTTAATAATACAGCAGCTGGATTAGGACCCCAAATCCGGCGCCGGCCGCGGCCGTGACTAGAGTTTCTTTTTCTTGGTTTCCTTGAGCCTGCCACGCCAGGCGCCCACCGCCACAACGACCGCACTTCTGAGTATCCTGTAGACGACGTAGCAGCAGACGGCGAGGAAGAGCAGGACGTCTGCAGAGACATACTGCAGGAAGTGCAGGCGCTTGCCGGGGTACAGCAGGTGCGGCGCCCCATGGTGCCGGATCACGTACTCTATCCACCGCACAGCACGAGCCCCGGGACTCTCCTTCTGGTCCTGCAGCACCGCTGAGATCGTCCTCAGCCGGGCGCCGTATCTGTGCACATTGTTCAAGCGTTACATCTAATGGAAATGTGTTTGCCTTTTGTTTGTACACCACAAATAACACCAAATAACTTACGCATTTCCTACGTAATTGACAATGCTGCGTTAATTACAAACGCATTACCTAATTAAAAAAATGATCATAGGTTCATTATAGGAGGCTGACGTGGTGTCGTTGACGAGCTCGTTGACGGCGTCGACGATGGCCTGGGCGGTGAGCGTCTGCCACTCCAGCGACAGCGCCAGCTTCTTGCGTACCATCCGAGCCGCGTTCCTGGGCTGATCAAAGGCCACTGGCACTGCAAGTACTGGTACGCCGTGGTACTTGGCCTCTTGGGTGCCCAGGTTCCCGCAGTGCGAAATGAAAAGCCGCGTCTTCGGATGACCTAATTCAGAAGAAAGTTTATGCAGTGATTACGCTGTGGTCTAACATTAATTTAATCGACCGAAAAGTCATATCTTAAAATTGACCTGTGTTTTCGACAGTAGCGATAAAACAAGGAAACTAATATTAAGAATCATTCAGTCAAATTTGCAATTCAGCAATTCCAAATATTTGTAACAAGTTGGGCACATTACTCATATTGTAACAAGTTATGCACATTGCTCATAATTGTAACAAATTACATCAAGGCACATGAACATCGCGAGCACCACCGCCCCAGGTACCGAGTATGTCCTGCTGAGGGAGCCAGGCCCGCGTCAGGACGTTCGGCGGCAGCTCCAAGTCGCTGCCCTCGTATTTCCACACGACTTTTTGCGGCAGCCTGCGGAACGCCTCCACAAACTCCAGCTGGTGGTCAAAGGTCCAGGTCAAAGTATTACAAAATCAGACAAAAATCTTACGATTGAGCCAATATTACATTCTAAAAATAAGTTAATATGCAACCCGTTCCTGATATATTAGGTTATTACCACCATATCCTGGGTGTGGGCGAGGATCAGAGAACAAATGAGGACTCGAACAGGACTTAACTCCAAAAGTGGCTTCGAGCTCCAGCAAAATTCCTTTAATCATTTACATGTACAACGCCCAGCAAATTTATTCGCCCGAGTCATTGGCCTGGATTGCGTAATGGCCTGGACCCTGACCGACGTTCGGGTTCAAATCTAAACGAGCAAAGTACAGATGCGTGTAAGGCTTTTTCTGGATTGTTACTGTCGTCAACAACACTTTATGCCCTGCATAAATCGCTCACTAACTCAAACTTTGCGGTATAAAATGCAGCTGGATTTGTGGACCTTTGCTCTGAGGGGAATGTCGGCGCTTTCAGCGATGCTGCCGATGCTGAAGTAGATGACCCCGTGGGCGCCGCTGCTGGCCATGAACTCCTCCAGGTCCTGTGAGGGGAAACTGGGGCTTACGAGGGAAGGCATACAGTTGCTGGGGAACAGGAGGAATAGTGGGGTACAGTGGGGAACAGTAAGGGCAGGATAAGGTCATATTGCTACGCTTGAGAAAGAAGCGGGTCTTAATGTATGCTGGAGAACAGTGATAAATAATCAGTAACAAGAGATTACACTTCATTCAATTGGGATGTCTATCCAAAACTTTTCCATTCCTTGCATTTAGTTTGTTGCATTCAGTCTACACTTATTGCTGCAGTACCTCATTATTGCTGCAGTACCTCATTAAAGTAATATAGACATGATCCCTCACGTTGGGCAGGGGCTTGGCAGGCTTGGCGTTGATGGTACCAATTTCGACCTGACTGGGCAGGAGGGGCACGGGGCTGTCCAGGGCAGGGTGCCCGTTGATCAGGGTTAATCTCGCTCTTGAATAATAACTGAAAAAGAAATAACTACTTCAAGTAACAAATTTACAGGGGTTAGTAATTTAGTAAAATTTTATCGTGCGCTGTTTAAAGTTTAGCGGCAGTAGTATTCAAAAACGTCTCACTTCACTGTTTGAGTTGATGATTGTTTTTTTACGGGCCGAACAGATTTTATTTTTGAATGAAGGTTTCCTGTATCCATCCGTATGTTTGCGACTGCGATGTAATAAACACATTTTTTGTGGCATGTAAGCAAGTGCTGCGACCGGCTGACTGCCAAAGTCGCATCTCAGGAGCGAATTTAGCGAGCTTTACGAGCGTTCTTTTTTCCACTTTATATGCATGCCAGTGAGCTAATTTAACGTATTTCAATCTCCATATTAATACACTTTGGCGCACGGGTACCAGAGAGCCCCAGTGTGAAGGAAAAGGGAAGAACCAAGATCTCCTGGACGTAAGCGTTAAATCTGATTTGACGTGTCGCCTGGAGCCTCGCAAAGTGAAGCATAATTTGAACTCTAGGACCGTCACGTTATGAGGTCATGCAGAGAGTAAATAGTGAAATAGGTCACCGAGTTCACGTAATGCGCGGTATTCGTGTATATTAAGATGATACATTCTTCCCGCATGTGGTCCACTTGCATGAGTATCATGAGTGTGGTGCATATTAATTGATTAATATCACAAGGAGCATCATTAGGATGATAATCATAAGAATCCTCAATAAGATGGGTTGCCTGATAAGACTCATTAAAATATAATAAGAATATTAGAACCAAGAGCTTCAGTAAGATGGGCCCTCAAATAGACATATGTGATGCCTTCGTCGTCATGCAGATCCTCCTCTTGGTAGTGGGTGTCTTTAATAGAGTACGGGTTATATTATAAATTGTGCATTATCAGATTAAGAAATCGGCCCCATCGTGAAACTTTAAGAAGTTAATGAAGACAAATTATGACCTCTCTATACTATCAAAATATATTCATGCATGTCTCAGTTCGGGCACGAGCCCCCGAAAAATTTCAACGCACAACGGAACAGGTGCGTCCTGTAATTCTTCCATTCTAATTCCCGTAATTACATAACAAAGGCAAAAGTTTACTTTAGATAAAACCCGAAAAAAAATCACCGGACTGGATGGTTCGGTAATGCTCCAGAACAGGAATTCACGTAATGGGAAATGTTTGTAATGTAACTTTTTTCTCTATGCTCGTTAAGCTTTTTATTTATAATATGAACCAAAAATTACGTTTTTTTCAGCTTTAAAGTTGGAATTCTAAACAATTTACAGGACATTGAAGTCGATTTATTCATTAAAAAACTCTACCACTACTTTTAATCTGGAATTCATGATCAATTCACTTAAGGTCGTGCTAATAAGCCGCCGACTCACATGCCACCTACAATCTGAAGGACCCAAGAACCACATGCGGGAGGTTAACAATGAGACCCGAGCGACATTGAAGGCCTGCACCAGCATAGTTAGGCGGTGCCCTGACCCATCGAGACTGGCTTTAGTTGAGGCCCTCATTATCAAAAGCGAGTCTCCAGCTATCAACCTCCGAACTACAGGATTCGTCCGTACGCTGAAATTATTTTCAGAGTAATTTAAGATTGGCTTTCAAATTGTATCCACATTTCTCTTGATTTGGTCTACTGTTATTTCCAATAGTTAAATTTCAAGTGTTGCAATCGACTCATTAAAAAAATAAGAAGATTGTTGATAAAAGGCATGCTCTGACCTTCACTCAAAATTGCGATAACTGAAATGAAGCATATTCTATTCGGAATAAAATTGTATCATCACAAATCATTTACTTTAAAAAACTACACAAACGCTTTGATGCATTTATATAATATTGATTTCAACCGAGTAGTTAAGCACTAACCTGCCGATGGGTTCGATTTCGGGGAATTTTTGTTCCAGTAGCCTCTGCATTTGAACGAAGTACGTAAATTTTTTATGGAAATATAATAATGGAATGGCAATCACATTGACAGTTCGTTCGAAAAAAGTCATGTCTCCATCGTAAGGTAAAGTCATCGACGGAACAACTGAGGGCGGCAACCAATTGCCTGCCATGGATATCGCACTGTACTCCACCCCGGGAGTGGAGACGATCATGTAATGTCCGGTGTAGTTTAGTAAGAACGGCATGCAGATTTCGTTGATATACGCAGGAGTCAAGAAAGCGTCGAACGAATTCCTCTTATTCCATACCTCTTTGACCTCTTCGTTTTCCCACATTATCCCACCAATGAAGAATATTTCTTGAGTAAACTTTTCACGGGCTTTTGTGATATCGCGCATTTCGAAGACGTTATACTTGGGCTGGGGCACTTCACCCAAAACATTTAAGCTCCTGAAGTTTGGATGAGAAAGCGAAGGCGGGAAACTTGTCAAGAGAGTCACCGTGTGGTTGGCGTTCACCAAGTTCTCTCCGATCGCAGTGAACAAATAATGCAAAGACTTGCTGGCAATAGGCGTAGCCAGGAGAATGTTGTACGCATCCGCTGGAATTGTGCTCAGTCCGGTGCAGAGAGCCAAGCAAACTAGCAGTGGAACCCTGGAAGTCATTTCGACCGTTGATTTCTTACCAGGATGAACTTGTGACTTAGTCAAGAGCCAAGGTAATATATGACTGTTCAGCAATCCAAATATCAGTTGTGGCTTGCATCTTAAAAATTCTGGCCTACTATGACGTTTTTAGAAGCCTGTTGAAGTTTATTTTACATTGTCAAAATTTCAACATCTGCAAGTCGAAGCTCCTGCGTGGTCACTTCTCTGACAAAGCGACAAACAGTAACTGCGGTACAACGAAGTTCCCATGAGAGCAAGAACTTTCCCATGATAGGCTTGCATTACGAGATAACAATGAAGGTCGCGATCCATTGGCCCATTGTTAGATATCATTCCTAAGCGTCTCCCTCTTCATTGAAACATGTGACCAATACAGTTTTTTATCGTCAACGATCTGAAAACTTACTACCTTGATCACGCTTAAAAGAAATTATTTGTCTATACATCATGCTTATGACGTCGTCTTCCAAACTTATGACGTCGTCTTCCAAACTTTACATTAGGTTAAATTCGGAGATGGCATTTACTACTTCGCTTCTGATTTATGGGCATTAATTTCTGAAATAATCGTGGATTGCATTTGAAGTGCTATTAATATTGGAGAATATATAAAAACAAGTCCTACTTGCCCTACTTCAATCCCTCCCCTTGTATACGAGTATATGCCTGGGTAGAATGTCGCACCTAACGAATATTTTACTGACATAGTAGAAAACTAAATGATACTGACACTAAATGATGCTGATACTGATTAGAAGGTGGAAATTAATGCATGGGTGAGAATTCATATATATACTAATGCATGGGTGATGCATGGGTGAGAATTCATATATCTACTAATTCAACTTTGGTCGCCAACATTTTCTGCTGCTGATCGAGAAGAATTTTGCATATTGTCATGCTACTACAGTTTCTTTCGATTTATTCTTTCGTTCGAGCCAACACTGTTACCTACAACTTCGCAATGGTAAACTTAGTAATAGACTCTTCGCTATATATCAGCCATGAGTTTGAGGGTGTGCTAAGCTTGCATTCTACCGTGTTCTTTTGTCGTCTCGTAGCCCTGAGTAATTGTTGGCGCTGTTGTCTTGATTTGAATCGATGATAGGGGTGCAGGCTGGTGCATATTGGCTCATACGCTGATAAGATTGATATGCTACAAGAAGTACAGCAATGGAAATAGCATTAACAGTTCGTTCGAAGAAATTCATGTACTCATCGTAAGGTAAAATCATCGACGGAAACACGGGAGTTTGGACGATCATGCAATGTGCAGTGTATCAAGATGTGTGGTATTGAAGTTGTAAATTTTCAGAGAGCTGTTGTTGATAAGTGAGTGCATCGTTTAGGAGGATGATTTCTGGGTCGATGCTGTAAATGATTGACAAAGTAAATTTTCTGTTGTTCCAGGTTTGGAAAAAATGACACAATCCAACTTACATTTAAAAAAATTGATACTAAATATCCCAGGTTGTGTGTCGTGACATCTTAGCTGATGGCGGAACTTCCTGCAGGTGCAGACGGTCAGACTCGTGTAGCTGGCGAAGCTCTAGCTCGAGTTACCCTCGAAACAGCTAATAGAAAGAACAAATTATTCTGTCTACATGACCTATAACTTTTTGCTATGTCTAACTGCTCAAATTGTATTGAATGCTGCGTCAGAACTATTAAACTTGAAGTGACGTTAAAACCGTGGCTATGGGGTGCTGCGTCAAAGTTTTAATGTTCTGTCCGGTTCTGAGAAGTGTCGGCAAATTAATATAATTAAAATTTCGTGCTACTAATGCCATCAAGATAAAGTGAAACTAATCAACTATTGATCAAATGGTAGCACAAGTATTTTTGTTTATCGTCATCAGCTCTCATCACAATACACCTATCGCCATCATCGCGCTCCTATATGTCGTCCAACCCACCATCACTTTGCTATATGTACAATAACAATCAAAATTGAGTGGTTAGCTAGAAAAGAGCGGAAATTTTTATTAAAATTCTTCTACAATCACGGAAAAATATTGGCCCGAGTATAGCATATTGCGAGTATAGCAGGCGAGGTCTGATTGAGTCATGAGGGCGTACGGGCAATGACAGGGCGCGATAACGGGCCTGCCACTGCACGTCGCTAATTGACCGTTACTGACGGTCTAAGAGTGACGGACGAGCGCCACTCTCCTCGATGATTGATTGCCTCGTCAAATGCAGCTACGTACAACAGCTCAATCTCTATAGCTGCAGCCCACATACCTGCAATCCTGAGCGCCGGCAATCTACCTTATTTTTGCAAAGCAATTTATTGTGCCCGCAAGCAATATTAGTTTGCTTTGATATTATTAATTAAATTTTATTTTCTAACTCGTTTTTTTCTAATTTTTTATCTAAGTCTGTGGTACTTGCCGTAAATTTGAGGTATAATTTTGAGGGCAAGCTCAGTATATTCTATTCAAATCCGTTGATCACTCGACAAACACAAATTCCGAGTCGAAAATCTTTGATCCGTACATTGAAATAGATACTCCTATTATACATATATTTATTCAATGCCGTTCATTTCCTACATTTACCGCGATGATGACATCTAAATATCCCAGGCGCTGCTATGTTTTCTCCGTGCTTTCCATTTTAAATGACTTAAAATGTCAGGTTGAGGACATATCAAGAACTCATTAAATTCCAAACAATTGACTTTGATTTAGAGAAGCCAGTGCCATGCGAGCGCCTCTCCGCGAGGCAGACTTCACCAGGTCACCCGGCGCTGCACTTGTACTAATACTAATAATAACAAATAAATTTATGCTGGAATATTGCGGGACAATAATTATTGTACTGTGGCGCCCTCAGCATCAACGTGTGGCAGCCTTTTGATGTCATGCGCATGCATGGTGCATTATAATCACTAGTTCATTAGTTTCTTCATTGCCACAGCACCCAACTCCCAATTTGTTGCATTAAATTACAGTTAGATTTGAATACTATTGATTATTTTTAGGCTGTGCACAATTTCGCATGCAAAGCCGTCTTCATTCTCAGCCGTCGTTCAAATGCATTCACTTCCCTACACTTCCATCAGACGAGCAGGACTCACGACACAAGACTTCATCGCTCCCAACAGCTGCTCAAACAAAAGCCAACTGGAAAAAAATCTTCCAGTTATGCATTTTCCCTGAGTTCTGAAAACTGCTAACTAGTGCACGCATATTCCGTCACGTGTGCACGCATATTCCGTCACTACTGCACTAGTGACGGAATAGCACTAGTCACTAGTGCACGCATATTTCGTCACTAGCACACGCGGAAAAGATGAAAGCGCCGGCGCTGTTCGGCCCTCATGAAAGAAGACCAGAAGAGCTCTTGAGTTCCTAAAGAACCAAAGAACAATTCAAATTTGCTCCATAGGAAAAACTGGGACAATCCAAGCGGGGTCCCGGCAAGCTCTCGACTGGTCCCGAGGGTCCCTCCATGGGGAGATCAAAGACGCCGCCGCGCGTCCCGAGAGCTGGGATTGTTAGGTGTATAGGTAAGTGAGTGGGTTCCACGGGCTGTGCGGATAAGTGGATTCAGTAGGCTGAATGGATGAGTGGGTTCAGTGGGCTGGATGGATGAGTGGGTTCAATGGGCTGGATGGATGAGTGGGTTCAATAGGCTGGATGGATGAGTGGGTTCAATAGGCTGGATGGATGATGGGCTGAACCCATCATGGGATGATGGGTTCAATGGGCTGAACCCATCATGGGATGATGGGTTCAATGGGCTGGGTGGATGTATGTGTTTAATGGGCTGAGCGGATGAGTGGGCTCAATTTTTCTAAAGATTGATCTTAGGTTTCAACTCTACAGGTTCCATAACAAACACCCGCATGGAGCAAGAATAGCTTTGATTTTCATTTCCTGCAGTAATACACCCAAGTTCTGTACTGGGAAGAAGCATTTTGCGCATTTTCGCTCATTTGTACAGCAAGGATTATCTTCCAATCTACAAAAAAGCTGATATTTTAAACATGTATTAATTTATTAACCACCTATGAAGCGTCTCAAAATTCCCCCTGGACGAGCTTGGTCCGCCGGGACAAAGACGCGCCGAAACAATAGCGCCAGGGGCCGCCGCGTCGCTTTGATCTTCAAATGAAGCGCCGCGACAATTAGAGATGAGAGGTCCTTATGGACTCCCCCAGCCCCTCCCTGTGGGGACAAGCTTGGTCTCCTCGTGTTGCATGGCCTCGTATAGGGGCTGTAGGGGAGACATCGATGGTTAATGAGGGCGATGAAGACCATCGATGGTTAATGAGGGTCAATTAATTCTATGATGGTTAATGAGGGTCAATGAATTCTATAAATGGTTTATGAGGGTCAATGAATTCTATAGATGGTTAATGAGGGTCAATGAATGCTATAAATGGTTAATAAGGGTTGAAAAAGGCCGTCGATGGTTAATGTGGATCGAAGATAGCTATTTTCTTCAAGGGAGACCAGAAATGGTTAATGAGGGTCGAAAAGGAACATTGATAACTAATGATAACAATCGTCAATGAGAGTCAATGAAGTCCATGGATGGTTTATGATAGTCGAAAAAACTTTCACTGTTTAATTACTGTCGAGCATTTGGCCTGAGATGATTACTGTTATTTTGGGTCGGCGGGTGCAGTTTGTCTGTCACGTGACATCTCAAGCGATGGTTTGTATGGTGCTAACTGTACATCAGTTGTAGCATCCAATGTTACTTGTACTTGCAGACGGTTGTTCACCTAAAATATTCTTTATAAAATCAACCAAGGGTACATCGAAATTGATTACAATAAACTCTTCCGTGTGTTACTGAACGTTGTACGATGTATATTATATCTTATGAGCATCTCTAGATGGTGTCACTTATCTATTCTATGACATATTCTCTTTTTTATCTGTTTTATATATTCAGTAAATTCTTGCATCAGCTTCAGCTTTTTCTGCTCCAAGCGAATCAACTCTCAAAGAACAAATGTTGGTGCAACAACTCGTTTAAAAATTATGGCCGTATCTACGCGGTGGTATCGACGTACATTCGTCGGCCACCATATAAGCGTGCCGGGAATGTCAGTACAGTTTTATCTTGTAGAAGTCTTGGCTTAGCTCATCTCTGTCTAAGTAAATGAAAAATGCAAATAGACTTTCCTCAAGGGAGAAAAAATTAATGTTCGGCTGAAGTTCGTTTCCGCCGCTAATGCCACAGAGGCGAACCTGCGCCCGGTCTCCACAC